GTCCGTCATGGAATCCAGAGAGGACCCAACCATGGCGAAAACGTCGTCAGGCTTGCCAGTCCCATCGATCTCGCTCACGACATCCTTGAAGAAAGGGACGATCCCGTTGACCTGGTCGCGGTAGATCTTCAGCCTGTTGCGAATGGCTTCCTCCTGATTGCCAAGTTTTCCACACAACACACACACACACACGTGCACATACATCGACTCCCCAAACAGTGCTTGTTCATAGGGCTTCTTACTTGTCTTCTGAGGCACTGGGCCTGCGGGCCGCTCTGGCCGCCATGCGGCCGCCGTCGCCGCATCGTCGCCTGGGCCTGCGGGCCGCGGGCCGCTCGAGCCGCCACATCCTCACCAGTGCTGGTACCGCGATCGCGGCCCAAACGCAGCTTACACTAAGAAGGCGCGACGCGCCTTGCACGAAGTGTAGGTTGGTGTGCTGCCCTGGCCGGCCTGTGACACCCCGTCGCCGCCCACTGGCCGCACGTCGCCGCCGCCCGTGTGGCCCTTCTGTGCCGGTCTGGCCAGCTTGTGGCCGCCCGTCGCCGCCGCCCGGCTGCCCCGTCTGCCGGTCCACCCAGCTGGTGGCCGCCTGTCGCCGCCCGTCGCCACCGCATCCTGGGCCCGATTTTGATGGCGTGGGCCTCGTAGACTGCACCACATACAATTGCAGCGCGCAGATTGAACCACACAGCATGCGTACCACAGGTTGCACCACCAAGCTTGCACCACATACATCATCGTTTGCTGAAACAAGAACAGACTCTAGCCCCCCCCCAGGATTGTCGGTGCCCCCTTTTCGAATTGCATTTTACATGCGATTCTGCCCCAATCGTCCATCCGAAATATAAACTCGTACCACCCCAGCTCTACCGGTATCACCCCCCCCCCGCCATCCTCTGCACTCCTCTGCAAAAAACTGTTATGCCCGTGCGCTCGTTTCTCAAAAACCATACGTTTCCAAGAATCCTTTGCAACAGTTGGGGCGAAATGCGCACGCGCGCGTCGTCGCGCGCGCGTGCCCGAATCCTTCGAAAACCTTCAGGTGTCGTAAGGATTTCAAAATCGAGTGTCCAAAAAACATATGACAAGACAAGGTCTCGCAGCACGGATTTCCCCCAAAAAGCTTGCGCGTGCGCTCTTGCGAATTCTTAAGGCAACCACAACTTTTCCAACATTCTCATAACATGCTACCAAACGGGTTCCGCGAACGCGCATGTCGAAATCGTTCGAGCGCCCTTGCGCGCGTGCTGGGGTGGCACGACCCGCGTCAAATAATACCATGCGGGCCACTCTTGCGCGTCTGCCGCGTGCGCATTTCGAACTCCTTCCAAAACCTTTATCACCGACGCGAAGACGCCGTCATCGTCGTCGGCGTGATCAACATCGGCGCCGTCACTGGCTGCCCCGCCGTCGCTGTCAGCATCGTTGCCATCATCGCTACTATCATCATGGTAGCTGCCGTTTGTTGACGTTGCGATGAGACCGCGACCGCCAAAGTCGCCGACTCGCACTGAAGTGCCCGCTGGGACGTGCCCAGAGGTCAGCGCCACCGAGTTTGCGTCGGTCGCGCCAGATTAGCTGGCCGCTGCGCGCGCGAGCGTGCGCGGGCTAGCGCGGCCGCACAAATGCACCAGCAAACACCAAGCATTCATCGCAATCGCCTCCGCATGGGTTTTGCAAACCAAGTTGCGGGTGGGTGGGTGGCATGAATTCGCAAGAAACTAAATTGACAACTTCAAATTCGGCAATCGACATGCGCCGCATAGATTCTCCTTCCTAAAAGAAAAATAGAGTCTACCCCCCCCCCCCCGGAGTGAACGATCCCCCTGCGGTATTGCGATTTCATACTTATGCTACACAGTCGTCCATCCAAAATGTGCACTCGTACTATCCCAGCCAAACAGGTGCCACTCCCCCCGCCACCTTCTGCAACAAAATACTATGCGCGCTCTCGTTTATCACAAATCATAAGAAGTTTCAAAAATCCGATGTACACGCGCGCGTCGTCGCGCGCGCATGCAGAACCTTCAGGAACATTCGGCTTGGTAAGGATATCACAATCGAGTTTCACCAAAAGCATACAAAACACACATGGTTTCGCAACACTGATCTTTTTAAAAGCTTACGCCAGCGTTCTCTCAACATCTGAACAAACAAAACCATCGGTTTTTCAATATTTCCAAAAATACTACCAAACAGGCTTCGCGCACGCATGTCGAAATCTTCCGAACGCCCTTGCGCGCGTGCCGTCGCGAGAATCCTCTGCAAAAAAAGGACGTCGTGCAGACGCGCGCGTCGTCGCGCGCGCATGCCGACATCCTTCAAAAACCTTCGGTGTCGCAAAGATTTCAAAATCGTGTCTGAAAAACATACAGAACACAAGGTTTCGCAACACGGGTTTTCAACACAAGCGTGCGCGCGCGCTCTTGCGTCGTCGTCGTCATCGTCGTCGTCGCCGTCCTCCCTCCTTCCTGGTCGTCGTCGTCGTCGTTGTCGTCGTCGTCGGCGTCGCCGTCCTCCCTCCTTCTTCGTCGTTCGCGTCGTCGCCGCCCTCCCTCCTCCCTCGTCGTTGTTGTCGTTGCCACCGTCGTCGTCCGCCCTCCTCCCTCGTCGTCGTCGTCGCCTTCGTTAGCGACGTCGTCGTCGTCCTCCTCTTCGTCGTCGTCGTCGTCGTAGTCGTCGTCGGCATCGTCGTCGTCGCCGTTGTCATCGTCGTCGTTGTCGGCGGCGTCGTCGTCGTCGGTGTCGTCGTCGTCGTTGTCTGCGTCGTCGAAGCCGTTGGAGACGTCGTCGGTGTTGTCGTAGTCGTTGTCGGCGGCGTCGTCGTCGTCGTTGTCGCTGTCGTCGTCGGCGTCGGTGTCGTTGCCAAGTGCCATTTGGTACCCACCGTCACGGTCTTAATAGGTTTTGCAAACCAAGTTGCGGGTGGGTGGGTGGGATGTTTGCGCGAGCAGTGGAGTGGACAATTCACTGCGAACAGAAATTGATTGCACCACCTATAGTCTGTACCGCGTAGATTGCCACATATAGTTTGCACCACGTAGCTCACACCACACAGATTGAAGTGTAGATTTTACACCGCATCGATTGCACCAAATACATTGCACCGTGCCACATTAACTGCACCACCTACAGAGCACCACGCAGCTTATTGCAACACCTAGCTTACACCACATATACAGGTTGAAAGAGCTTACACTACATAGGTGACACCACACGTATATCAGCATATACATGCGTACATGTATGTACATCTATGCGTGCATATCAGAATGAGGGGGCCGAACGGTCATTCATCGTCCCTGGGTGCGTGGCTGAAGTGAGAACCCGTGGTGAGAATTCTGCTTGTTGCGTCGTTGTTGTTGTTGTTGTTGTTGTTGTCGTAGTCGTTGTTGTTGTTGTTGTTGTTGTTGTTGTTGTTGTTGTTTGGTGTCGTCGTCCCACCCGCGACCCGCCCGCGACCTACCCCGCGATCCACCCCGCGACCCACCCCGCGACCCACCCCGCGACCCACCCCGCGACCCACCCCGCGACCCATCCGCGACCCACCCGCGACCCACCCGCGACCCACTTGCGAGCCACCTCGTGACCCACCCCGCGACCCACCCCGCGACCCGCCCGCGACACACCTGCGACCCACCCGCGACCGATCCGCATTGGCTCGAAGAAAAGGTCGGCGTCTGCGGCGGGCTCGTGGTATAATTTGAAAACTGTGGGGCCTGCGGCGGGCTTCTCCAGATTCTCGCAGATTGCAGATGTCCCCACCGCCCCCTGACTCTTACCCGCATCTGCGGGGTGCTACGTATATAGTGCGCCGCGAATTTGGTACCACATCGTATGCTAGAAAAAACTGTTTGGGGCCAGCGCTGGTCAACACATACATGCGTACACCTATACCGCAGATGCGGATAGCTATTTGTACTTCCATAATCTTTATATCGGGAGACTATTTTAATACGTAGACTACTCAACTACATCCACGACGCAGTGGAGGAGGCGGGATATCACCCCGCAGGGCGTGGGGAGAGACTGGGCGAAGGCTGTCGCACAAGCATGCAGCATCAAGTGGGCCTGCAGACTGTCTGAAAAGCTTCGGCTCCAAGGAGACGGAGGACGGGGACAGCAAAAAACGAACGCACGAATAATATAATCTACAAGGCCACCGGTGGCGAAATGTTGGACTCATCGCCCAGACAGGGAGAGGCCCGCGGACTTTCCTGCACAATTTCGACTCCAAGGAGGCGGAGAAAGAACATGAGGAGAGGGAGGAGGTGGGGAAAGAGATGAGGGAACCGCGGCAAACTCGCGCTGAGAAAGCCGACGCAGGAAGGCACTCCGCAGCCTCAAGTCGTCCAGCTGGCGAGCGCATGCCCAATTTTCGTCCTGAGCGCTTCCTTGTACACGTCGTTCATTTCTAATCGCGTTCATTTCTAATTGTGCTCGTTTCTAATTGTTCCTGGCCCCCTAGTGGCCAGGAAGAGGCTCAGGATGGAACAATCAGAAATGCGAGGATCTTGGCCCCCCCAAAAAGAAGAACTGTCGAAGATTTAGACATGAACACTATGTGTACAGCTTGCCTGCAAAGCTTTCATCTCTCTCTTCCGAGGCTGCGGTAAGCATCGCTGGATCCGTAGCGGGGTCGGGGGGGGCGCCCACTGCCTCCGCGGTTGCCCCCCGTGGCCTCCCGTGGCCTGCCATGGCCTCTCGTGGCCTCCCCGTGGCCTCTGGTTGCCCGGCGTGGCCTCCCCAGGCCGTCTCTGCCCCTACCCCTCTATGCCTCTGCTCCTCTATGCCGGCATCCTTGCATCCCGTGCTTCCCTATCCTTTGCATCCCTATCCCGTGCTCTCATTCCTATCCCCATGCCCATATCCCCATCCCTTTCCCGATCCCTCCAATCGTGCGCCTGCCGTGGGCCCTGCATCATGGCCCCCGACCGTCACCGTGTAAAGCTGTGCTGCCGCCGTGGTGTCACTACCTTTTCTAATCACATCCCCAGGGCCCCGAGATGCCGAAAAGGGTGAAACACAGCAGAGCAAAGAGCCGTTCTTCATGGTGATCCTGGTCGTCGCTGCGGTGGACGAGGCGGTCCATGATCTCGGCCGGGGGCGGCTTGAACTTGAGGTGGTAGATCTCGCCCGTCTCTGGGTCCAAGCGCCTGCCGCAGCCGCGCACCACCAACTCCTCGTCGGGGACGTCAATCAGAAGGAACTTCTTGACCTTCAGGCCAGCGTCCACCATGGCCTGCGCCTGGAGGATTCAGTTATTGTCAATATGGCAAGTCTTCTTGCAGGGAGGGGAACAGGGGGTGGCCTGGCGAGGCCCTGAATAAGACCACAACTTCACGCAAAATGAATACTTACTTGCACGCTTCTTCGGTTCAGAATGATGTCAAGCAGTGGAAGGGGGGAGTGGGTGGGAGCGGGGTCGGGGTGGAAGGGGGGGGGGAACGCCGTGCAAGAAAGCTTGCGTGGGCCCCACTTGAGGCACCCGCCTGGTCGGGAGCGCGCGGGAACCCGTCGAGGAGGCAGCCCTTCTCCTTCACGTCGTCCTTCTCCAAGCGGTCCTGGGAGGAGCAGGGAACTACTGACGTCAACGCGGGTTTCCCGAGGTTCGCGCGGGCGTCTCGCGCCGACTCCCTCCGTGGCGCGCAGGCCGCCACCGCCGGGGGGGGGCCGAGCGCCGACCGCGGAAACCCGCGCAGTGCTCAGACAAGTGGTATGCTCATGCCGACTTGGGTCTCCTTACCAGCCTGGAACATGTAACATATCCCTATCCCTATGCTGGGCACCTCCTCATCACGGTGCCAATCTTAGGGATTCCCTTATTTTTTGAAGGCGAATCCCTAAGATTGTCATCGCCTTTTGGCGTGTCAATCTTAGGGATAGGGATCCGCTCAAGGCTGGTAATGTCCGAAGTCCTTCACGAGGTCCACGATCAGCTCGCTCGGGACGAGAGCCCCGGCCTTCATGAAGCCCTCGGCCTTCTTGCCGAGCTCGGTGCCGTTCTTCACGTTCTCCCGCAGGATGTCGCCAGTGGAGATGTGCACGTAACCGTACCTGGAGGTTTCGCGTGAGAGACGCCTCTGGAGGCCTGCAGTGAGCATCGTTCACGCGGAGCAAGGTCGGCGCCAGAGGCGCCGCCAGGATCCAACAAAGCTGCGCGGACCGTTGAAAGACTGTGCTTACGTCGGTTCCTCTTCCGACAGAAGGAGGAGGCCGAGGAGGAGGAGGAAGAGGAGGAGGAGGAGGAGGAGGAGGAGGAGGAGGAGGAGGAGGAGGAGGGAGGCCGAGGAGGAGGCCGACGACATGGAGGAGGAGGCCGAGGAGGCGGAGGAGGAGGAGGCCGAGGAGGAGAAGGAGGCCGAGGAGGAGGCCGACGACATGGAGGAGGAGGCCGAGGAGGAGGAGGAGGAGGAGGAGGAGAAGGCCGAGGAGGGGAAGGAGGCCGAGGAGGAGGCCGACGACGTCGAGGAGGAGGCCGAGGAGGAGCAGGAGGGCGAGGAGGAGGCCGACGACGGGGAGGAGGAGGAGGCCGAGGAGGCGAAGGGAGGCGGAGGAGGCGCACTTCGCTTTGATCTTCTCGCACTGGGTGCCCTTGCCCGCGGCCGGCGGGCCGGCGATGACCACCAGCGGGGCCTCCACGCCGCCGCCCCGCGCGGCGAGCACCACGCGGCTCTTGCCCTCGCCGCCGCGCCTGGGCCCCGGACACACCAGGGGATACGGTCAACTTGGGCGCCTGAGTTATCCGGGGTAACTCGGGTCCGGGGTAACTCGGGTTTGGATTCCCGAATAACGAACCCGGGTTAGCCCTGACCCGAGTTACCCCTGATGAATTGAGGCTCTGGGCGCCCGAATTATCCGGGGTAACTCGGGCCCGGGGTAACTCGGGCTAGGATCGGGATAAATCGCTCCAGAGCGTTCCGGAGCGCTCTCAGAGCGTTCCGGAATGCTCTGGAGCGGCCGCGGCGCCTGCAATACGTCCTCCAAACCCGCCGATTCTCAGAGAGTTCGAGTTGTCCCGATCCGATTTTGTCCCGATCTTCGTGTCGTTTTACGTAATGCGGGATGACGATTAATAAAAGGAATGGGAGGGAACGATTACAAAAAGTAGTTTCCTGCTATTTCTGCACCATTTTCTGACTGGGGGAGAGCGATTGAAAAGAATCGCTCCAGAGCGTTCCGGAGCGCTCTCAGAGCGTTCCGGAACGCTCTGGAGCGGCTGCGGCGCCCAATACATCCTCCAAACCCGCCGATTCTCAGAGAATTCGAGTTGTCCCGATCCGATTTTGTCCCGATCTTCGTGTCGTTACGTAGTGCGGGATGACGATTAATAAAAATAATGGGAGAAAACGATTAAAAAACTAGTTTCCTGCGATCCCTGCACCATTTTCGGACTGGGGGGGAACGATTTAAAAAAAAGTGTTCCAGCCCGCGGCCGGTCAACCCGTAATGCGGGATGACGATTAATCAAAAGGATGGGAGGGAACGATTTGAAAAATAGTTTTCTGCGATCTCTGCACAATTTTCTGACTGGGGAGAACGATTTTTTAAAAAATAGTGTTCCAGCCCGCGGCCGGTTTGTTCTCATCGTCATCCCGGGCGCCGCCGCGTGCACACGACCCCCGGTCATGTATTAATCGTCATCCTCCATTCGGGGGAGGACGCACGGTGAGGAGGCAAGGGCCTTTGAAAGTCCACGTCGACACCATGCGGGCGGGGCGCGGCCAGCGAAGGCGGCCAAGGACGGGCCGAAGGGGAAGGATGCAAGGGTAGCCTTGGAGAGTGGCTCATCCTCCCTATGCGGGTTGACTGTGGCCGCAGACTCGACATAAATCAGAACGTGCTCCCCGCTTTCGAGCCTCTGCTGGCCGCTGGCCCATCCTCGGGCCACGCGGCCATCGAGACCAACCGGGGGAGGAAACGCCGGCCCCCGAGGAGGGGAGCGAGAGCTCTCGCTCCTGTCTCCGCGGGGCGGGCTGTCCCTCCCGGGGCGGAGTCCGGGGGGGCCGCCTCTCGAAAAAACGGCCCTCTGGGAAGCCTGGGACTGGCTGGTGAACTTCCACGCAGTTGACGTGCCGTTCTGTCATCGACCCTCGATCCAGGCCGTCTGTGATACTTTTTGGGCTCGTCTTGGCCCTTGGGCGACCTTGGAGGCCTCAGCCGACACCCGACGGTTCTAACTCAATGGAACTGTCCAGGGCGACGTCGGACTCCGGACTCGGGCTGTCGAACTTCCGTTTCGACTGCCTTCATCACGCATGGGGGCGCAGCGACCTTACGCAGAGGTCGGTGCGGCACACTGCGTGGAGAAGAGGGCGCTTACGCTTACGGGGCCTCCTCCCCCCTCCCTGTCTCTTTCCTCCTCCCAACCAGGCTGGCTGCCGAACCAAGCCGTCCAGAACCGCGCCGTCCCCGCCGCCGACCCGTGCCGGCCGGACCGACCTGGACCCCCCACACCGGGCCGTACAGAGGAAACGTATATGACGGACGGGTGGTAAAGACGCAAGACCCTTGGAGGCCGAAAGTGGGATTTGCTGGGCGGCGGGCGACCACAACCCCAGTGGAAACGGCAAAGGACGGGCCGCAGAGGCAAGGACACAGGGGTACCCTAGAAAAGGCGCGCGTTCTTACTATGCGCGTTGATTGTACTGAACTGGACCAGCGACGAAACCGAACCAAACCCTTCATGAATGAGGCCCAGGTAGACCGGGTCGGAAGATCGAAACATTTCGGCGGTGCATCGGCGCCGCCGAGAGGGAGACAGTCGGGTTCGATATGGCGCCGCATCGCCGAAGCACCCGCGATAGGGCGCGACAAAGTCGGTCTCCAGACCCCTCCAGTGGTCCACAACAGCCGCGCCCAGCCGTGCCGACGAGAACTCCCAGACACGCTGAAAGACGCCCTCGGAACGAAGAGGTCGACGACGACGTCGTCGCCGATGTTCTCGCCCGCGTCGCCTGGATGCCTGGGGCCAGGCCGCGATGGCGATGGCGCACGCCGCCACCGCCGCCACGCCCACCTTCCGGGTGCGTCAAAGAGGGGGGCATCCAGGAGAAGGGTTCGCAGACTATGGCCCGAGGCGCGTGCGCAGCCTATGGGGGGCCAAGGGACGTGCTGAAATAAGAAAGCGGGGCCATGCAATCAGAAGCCCTGAAACCCGGGTAGATACAGTGGCGCTGGTAACCAGCCATCTCCACCCCGCTTTGGAGGGCAACGAGAAGAGGGGCATCCGCCAAGGCTGGGAACCATCGACCTGGAATCGGCGGTGCATCCCCGATAGATCGGCGATGGGCCCCTGGTAGCGAAAATGCGCGTTACTGGGCGGGGGGGGCCATCGGGCCTCTTTCGGCGATGCATGGGTGATTGCGGGTTGAGGCTTCCCCCCCTGAGCCTATCCCCCCTAACGTTAGAAGAAGAAAAAAACGCCATAAACATATAAACTGCTGGCGCCCCGCACGGATTTCGTGGATCTGTGGACGGACCCCCCTCCCTGGCGCGCGGAGCGCGCCAGGGGGGGCCCAGCGCGGATCCAAGAAACCCGCGCGCGGCGCCAACAGTTTATGTTGATGGCGTTCTTTCTTCTTCGACTGAGCCCCATGCCCCCAAAAACCTTGCCCCTGAACCTGCATCCCCACCCCGCCTCCTGGTCATCGCTCGGACGTCCATTCCATGTGCTTTTTTCGGTTTCGTGCGTAGCTTTTTCGCCAAATGATCAAGGATGCTCCTCGATGGTCCTCGCCGAAGGAAAAATGCACACCTCCGAGCGATGCCAAGCCTCCTGCACGCCCCTCCTCCTCCTCCTCCCCCTCCTCCCCCTCCTCCTCCTCCTCCTCCTCCTCCTCCTCCTCCTCCTCCTCCTCGCCCCTGAACCTGCATCCCCACCCCTCCTCCTGCACGCCCCCGACACCTGCCCCGCGGGGATGGGCGAGCCCCTCGCCAGCCCCTCGCTGGCGCCGGGCCGCTGGCCGAGCATGGAGGCGCCGGTCGTGCGGGCGGCCTGGGGAGGAGGGCGCAGGAGAGCAGGAGCAGGAGAGCAGGAGCAGGAGGAGGGAGGAGGAGGAGGGAGGAGGAGAGCAGGAGGAGGAGGAAGAGGAGGGAGGAGGAGAGCAGGAGGAGGGAGGAGCAGGAGGAGGAGGGAGGAGAGAGGAGGAGGAGGAGGAGGAGGAGGAGGAGGGAGGAGGAGGAGGAGGAGAAGGAGGGAAGAGGGGAGGAGGAGGAGGAGGAGGAGGAGGAGGAGGAGGAGGAGGGAGGAGGAGGAGGAGGAGGAGGAGGGAGGAGGGAGGAGGAGGAGGAGGAGGAGGAGGAGGAGGAGGAGGAGGAGGAGGAGGAGGAGGAGGAGGAGGAGGAGGAGGGAGGAAAGAAGAGTCGAGTCAGCCAGGTCGAGCGAATCTGAGGGCCCCGCCTGCTCGCACCCGTCCTCCCCCGACACAGAGACCAGTGGTGGCACGGCTTGACGTCGAGATCGGAGCGCGCTCCCACCGCGCAGCAAGAGGGCGCTCGCGCGCGGCCCTGCTTCCGACGACCTGGCGAGGAGAGGACTGCGCGGGCCGCGCAGGGGCGGAAGCAGCACATCTTCCGATGGTCGCGGCGAAGACGAAGCGTGCGCCGCGCTGGCGCAGCACTGCCGCTTTCACGCACAAACTGCACGGCACCTTGGGCGAAGTCGGCATGTCGCCCGCTCCCGGTCGCCCCGCATGCCGCCCGAAAAGGGGCGCCGGTGCCAGCCGGCACAAGCCAGACTCCCAGCTCCCACGCCGACAACTATGAGGGAAGTGGGGCGAAGCACGAGCCCAACGTCGTCAGCTACGGGGAAGGTCACACGAAGCACGAGCCCGACGCCATCAACTACCAGGGTGGTACAACGAAGCACGGGTCCGATGTCAATCAGCTACGACGGTGGGGCTGCGAAGCACGAGCCCGACGTCATCAGCTACAATGTTGGGACCGGTCCACGCGGGCGAGAAGACCCGGCAGTGGTGCGAGAGATGCCGTCGGTGGCGCGTGAAGGACCAGCAGTGCTGCGATACGGGCCGGCAAGGGTGCGAGACGGGTTGGCAGTGGTGCGAGAAGGGGCAGCAGCGGTGCGAGACGGGCCGGGAATGGTGCGACAAGGGCCAACAGTGGTGCGAGAAGGGCCGGCAGGTGCGGCAGTGGCGGCAGAGGCTGAATACAAGACGCCATCAGCTACAGCGCGGCACGCAGAACGCCCGTCGTGTCCGTACTGTTTTCAATGTCCTTGCAGGCTTGTGCACCGGCCGCTATGGATATGTACTCGGTCAACTAGGCTACGCAGACATCACGAGGAGCAGAAGAGAAGAGGAGAGAGGGAGCGCGAAGCACGAGCCCGCCGTCATCAACCACATGGGTGGTGTCGCGAGGCACGAGCCCGACGCCATCAGCTACAGGGGTGGCGCTGCTTGACACCGCGTAAAAAACTATTGTTACCACGACGGCCCGAGGTGGCACGCAGGGCACTTCAAAAAATCTACGAAGCCGCTCCACACACCATGTGGCATCCTGGTATCCGGCACCTGCACGACAGCATCGCTACCTACCCCAAGGACGGGCACTGCTACGAGCACCTGGTGAAGAAACACAGGCATGGATACACAGCCGAGGAGGAGAAGGATCAGGAGATGCTCGACAGCGACGCGGGGGACGAGGAGGACGAAGGCAGAGTGAGGAAGGGACGAAGACAAGCCAAACGAGCGCAGCGGCACGCCGCAGGCCAGCCGCAGTGTGGGCAGGGAGCGCAAGAGGTGACAGCAGTGGCAGCAAGCGGGGCGAGGCGTGGACGAACCGACGTCATCAGCTACAAACCAGGTCTACTTCGGGAGCCTGTCTTACGACGTCGACTGGCGCGACCAGAAAGACCGCCCGAAGCAGGCGGGCAGCTTGGAATTCAGCGGAATGCTCACAGAAGACGGAGACACTCTACAGCAAGTCGGTCGGATACGGTCAGGCACGCTTTTCCCAGGAAAGGGAAACGAAGAAAGCCATAGTCAGCCTGGACGAGACGACGCTCAAGAACCAGAGGATTCGGGCCCGGACGTGGAATAGCGAACACGGACGTCCTCTACCAAGAGCGTAGTAGTAGAACGGTGGAGCTGGGGTAACGCGACCTGGGATCCCAAGCACACTCGTATCTAAGCCAGAAGAATATCCTCCAAGAAGATGAGTGAGACCCTCCACCCTCCAAAACACACAGAATATCCAAGGGTACCCTCCCCAGGGTGCACAAGAACACTCAGCAACCACGAAGAACATTAGGGCACCCTTCCCGAACCGACCTCGACCTTATACCTCGGTCCGACTGCGATTACTGCCTGACGCGAACCTGAAGTGGGAGGCAGGGGGAGCCGGTAGCCTGGCCGCGGGCATCGAGCGTCCTGGCGCGGGGCGGCTGCGGGGGGGAGTCCGCGTGGACGTGCAAAAACGGGACAAGAAAAGGAGGAGGAGGAGGAAGAGGAGGAGGAAGAGGAGGAGGAGGAGGAGGAGGAGAAGGATACGACGCTGTGGCGTGTCCGCGCGGGCGCACTGGCCGACGCAAAGGGTGGGGGGCAGGGGTCGCCCTGCCCCTCTCGCTACACTCTCGCACACCCCCCCGGCGCGGCCGCAGCCGCCGCGGGCGGCCCTCGGCGCGCGGGCGGCCCCGCCGAGGCACGTGGCGCCCAGGCGGCCGCTCGGCGGAGTCGTCGTCGTCTTCGTCGTCGTCATCGTCTTCGTCTTCGTCGTCGTCCTCGTCGTCGTCGTCGTCGTCGTCGTCGTCGTCGTCGTCGTCCTCGGGGAGCCAAGCGGCGGCAGGAAAAAAACATAGAAACTGGCAGCAGCAGCATCGGTTGCGGTGATGGACGATCTTGAAGACAATGTGCGGGCGCGGGGAGCGCGCGCGCGCGCGCCCCTCTCTAGCACCCACGCTCCAGACGCCGACCGCGAGCCGCCGAGGAGAAATAACAAACGAATTGCGGCGGTCCGAAAGGAATTTGGACAGCCGAACTTGGAACTCAGGCTCACAGAAAGTCGTAACCACGAGGTTCTGGCATCACCGGACGCGAGCGGCCTGGATTGGGGAATCCTCGCGGACCCCGGGCGCCCCCTCACCCGAAGGGTGAAACCTGTCCAGGAAAGGCTCGCGATTCCGTCTGGCGTGCTTTCCAACAGGGGCGGCAAGGGCAATCTAGCAGAAGCTGGCCAGCCTGACCAATGGTGTAATGATCACACTTCACGCAGAAGGCAGCGTGACCTGGGGATACCCGAGGACAACGGCCCCGAGCGTGGCAGGACATCACCATGCCTTCTGAAGGCAAGAACGCAACAGGGATCGCCGCATCAGCGATCCTTGCTCGGCCTGGCCGGGGCCCAGCGCACTGACGTCTGGAGGGGGGCATGACCGAGGGGGCGAGGGCCGTCCGGACAGCCGTCGCCAGGTGGGACGCATCGCGCGTGCGCGCGCTGTTGCCGAAAGATTGAATATCGCCTGCTGTCGGCCGTTGCGAGTGAAAGGCGAGATCGAGCGATCGCGGGCGGCATACGCGTCGGCGCGGCCACGGACCCGACGGCCCCAAGCGGGGCCGCGCTCGCCGCGATCCCGCTCAGGCCCCCCCCCCTCCAAGAGAAACCTCGGCAGGCTCCGACGAGAGGGGCCGCGGGCGCGCGAACGTGGCGAACCCAATGGAGGAAACGCCGTCGCTGCCCATCGCGTCGCAACGCCAGAAGTCGGGGCGCTGTCGGGTGAGAGCGCGGCGCAAGCGATGCTCTGCAGCCTGCAGCTTAGGACGGTCCGCCTTCGGTTCCCGACGTTTCTGAGGGCGCTGGGAAGTCAGCGCGCGGCCGACCGTGATATGATGTGCGCGTGTGCTCGCGCGAGCCAATGTAGCGCGCCGCGCGCGGACTCGCGCGCAACGCGGATGACCTTGGCCGAAATTACCAGCTCCCTGCGGACGTCGCTCCCCGCTCCGAACGGCAAAGTCCGCCCACCAACTCGAGCGGGCCTCGAGTCCCCGCTGTGATGACTTCACACGCGCAAGACCTGGAAAGCCTCTCCAAGGCAGCCGCGGTCGTCGACGCGTTGCCAGATGGCCTTCCAAACGCTCGCCTTCGGCCACCGAGTGCCACGAGTAAACGCAAGTCCCTAGTCCAAACCTTCAACCGAGCCCAGGAGATCGGTGAAAAACCGACTGGGCAAACTGCACTTCTAAAACTTACAAAAAGCCATGGAGCTACGGGGTGAACTCTGAACTGGTCCTGGAAGGGCCCCATGCACCACCAGCTGTATTGCGCGCGACTCATATCTTACGCATCCCACCCAGCTCTGCTAGGTTCTGGCCAGTGCTATATGATTCTGCGAGCTCCGTCGGCGCAGATGTCTCCCGTGGTCTGATCGATAGAACCGCGAAGTACGTGCTGGCGTCGACTGTCATCGCGCGGCGGCAGCGGCGGAAAGCATGATTGCGGAGCAAGTCCTCGATTCCCAAAGCACGAACCACGAGCGCGATATGGAAGACCATGCGCACCGATACTAGCAAGAGCGAGTGTCTGCCGTTTCTGGCGTGACGGGCACCCCAAAAAGATGCTGTCACTAGTGCGCGCTTCAAAAGGGCGCCCAGGACAGCATGGCGCGCGTGCATATCCATGAATACATAAACCACGCTGCGACCAGACCCCCCACCCCAAAAAAAAGAAAAAACATGGCACCGAGAAGCCCCGACTCCAGAATCGAAGGCATTCAAGTACGATCCCGATCATCGTCATCATGGTCAGACTCTTCGGATTCCCGAAGGACGGGTTAGCACCCCGGGGAAACTTGGGGCCCATGCCTGCATAGGAGAAATTCGAGCAACACGCCCAGCTAGTTCACGTCTTTCTAACACCTGCAGCTCGAGCAAGTTCTCGAACTGTTAGGGAGGCATCAACGCGTATATCAAGGCGCGCCTCTACCGGTGGCAAGTCAGAGCGCGGGCGTGGATCTCCACCCAAGCGCGCAAGGAGATTAGCATG